CCGACTCTCTGACCTTTAGGCCACGACTTCCCCCTAAAAAAGCTGTGAAAGGTAAAAGTCATGGTGGTAATAATGAAAACACCCTTCAGAGGCTGCTGTTGCAATCTATAGCTCTTCAATTATAGCTGTTTTAGCGTTTACTCTGATTTATCAGCGTAAACGCTATGTGACCCTGTAGATGTCTAAAACCTATCAAACACTCTGTTAACTGCTTTCTGATTATTCTGTCTTAGTAAAAATGTCCTGATCTGCCTGCTTGAGACAGCAGAAACAATCCATGATTAACCATTAAAAAGCATTAAAATCGATTGAGCAATCAGGCAGTTACTCACGACAATAGCTTGTGCTGAGGTGTATAGAAAAGCATGCATGAAATCCAATAGGTGATTAAAATTTCCATGATAACTGAAATTAAAAAAGTAAAAAAAACACTGTGAAAGAAAATGTGTTTAATTTTTTTTCACATTTTATTCACCAATTAATTATGACTCTTTTAATTATGAATTAATAGTAAGTGGTAATTCATCATTACCACTTGTGCCTTTTATATGTATATTTTTAATAAAAATATGTAATGTTATATTATATGTACACTGTATGTACCAAGAATTTACGTAAACATTATAATTCTAAGAAAGTTCTCTTTCAATATTAAATAGGCATGTGCTACATTTGAGTATGGCCAGTATGACTCACTTATGACAGTATGTGGTCATGCAGGATAAGAATATGATTTGAATAACTCATCACTGACCTGTGAGTCAGGTAAAATTGCTATATTCCTTACCACCTACTGTTTCTCCCTCCCACCGATTGTGTCCCAGAGGAACGGAAGCAGGGGATAAGCCATCTTCAAGTACTTTTGGCCAGGGTAATTACATCCCTTATGACAAGTTGCTATGGTGACAAAGAGGAGCGCAGCAATCAGTGCAAACATTTACTGTGACTGCAGGGAATGGCTTTGTTTGAACTTACTGCGACATGTGATTGTGACTGAGAAACAATTAATTAGTTGTGAAATTTGGCGATTTAAAACTGATAGAATCATTTACATAGAGCAGCAAAATGTTTGTTAAGCTTCAAATCATGACGTACAATGAGAGAAAAATAAAACACTTTGAACAGTAATGGCACTATTTTAGATGGCCTGCAAGTGGAGTCATAAATATAGTATTTACAAGTTCTGACCACATGAGGTTATATTTACAAGCTGCTGTATTTTCCAAGTTGTTAGTCGGAAGGGATATGTAAATGTGAAAATAGCCCAAACAAGTGTTGTGTTGTGAGTTTTAATAAATTATTTTCTAAAATTATAATTTTATGTGATTTATTTCAATAATATTAAGGTGCTGTACAAAATACTTACTGCTTATAGACAAGGCAACACATTTAAAGTTAAGCCCTTACCTTTCACAATTTGCTTTTGCTTTTTAAAATACAATATGCATACACAGTATAAATGAAAATTATATAAAATAAATATAACATATAAAATACAATAAAAATAATACAAAACTTGTACTACTATTATCATTGAACATTGTGATTGAAGAATGTTGTCACTATTGGTTGATGATTCCCAATGGCAAACACTTGCCATTAACTGCTTGGACTTGACTTAAAAAGTTTGTCATCTAATTTATTTCTTCATTATTATCCATAACTTTGAACTCAAAGTGAAAATCATCATAGTTGGGTAAAGTTCTCTAGTGGTGAATGGGAGCCCACATCAAGTATATTTTTTTTCTCTCGCATTTGTTCAGATAACAAAAGAAAAACACAATATTGTTTCAGTTAAAACTATGTCAAATTTACCCTCAATGCAATTTTAACTCTTTTTTTTTTGTGGTAATTTAAAGCAAATGTAATATAATACAAATTATAGTGTTATAAATGTACATTTTAAAAAAATGAAACCATTAAAGAACTTTCAGGATTTAGGATGCTGATGACCATTAAAAGGAGTATTCACAGTCTGTGAAAAGGGTCTATTTCAGTTACAAAAAGTTATAGATTGGTGTAACTTAAATCTGAAAAATAAGAATGATTACCCCTTGCCTAACTGCTACATATAGTTGGTCATTCTAATTATTAAGACACAGTCTTAACACAGTGGCTATGTTTATGCAACTGCAATAAACATAGAGTTTCTTATTCCTGTCTGTCTCTCAAAGCAGAAAGGTATCTATGTACATATGTATTTCCTTCGAGCACGTGGCTGTCTCCGGGGTTAGTGCTCAGTGGAAAGATGTGAAGATGTGAAGTATCGATTGCTGTTTGAACTTTACACAGACATAGACGACAGCAGAGCCCAGTGAATGAGTCACCTCTAAATATCATCTTTCAAGGCGGCTTGACATCAAAATAGGAATTTTGACTTTTAGTCCATGACTTGTTGAATAGTAATATTGTTGTTAGCAAAATACATTCAAAATACACAATGGAGTATCACTTTTAGATTTTATATAATGGTCTTTCAGACGTGTGTGTTTAGTGACAGAAGCCATGTGTGCCACCAGGCTGTTCCCATTAGTGACTCACTCCTTCCACCCGTTTCCATTTCCATCATTCTTCTCTTGGGAGAAGAGTGAGGCCTAGTAAATTCTCTTTTGTCCTGCTCATAAATCTAGAGTCGCCTAATTGGGTTAGAGTGTCTCGAATCCATCAGCAAACTGACAAAAGCCACTGCTGGGGAAGATTCTAGTGTACAGAAACAGCACTGGATCTAATCTGATGATAAAACCAGTTGGGTAGGGAACAGGAAATACAAATGCAAAGAATATGCGTGAATAGATGGGTAAAAAGTGCTCTCTTTGATCTGGCATGTTTGTGAGGAGAATAATAAGCTGGCCTGGTCTCACAAATGATGTGTTCTGCAGCTCATATCACGTCCAATATTGTTTTGTCTCCAGGTAGCCCTTATCATCTGCAGTGTAAATAGTGTGAAACAGCAAATCGACAAACAGAGTGGGTTGGTTGTTTAGTCGCAGCTTTAGCCCGGTGTCGGGTATCACTGCAGTGTGAGGTCTGCATTGTGGGATTTATCTTTTAGATTAGGATCCGTCCCCACAGAGCTTGTGACTCTGCTGCAGCCTTTAACAGCTCCTGAGAGAAACTGCTACGCTCACAGGCAGCCAGGCGAGGTGAAACACTGCCTTTTAATGCCAGAGCAGGGGAGAGGCAGGGAGATGGGGCATGACGGAGACAGAAACCATCCGCTCCTTAAACAGCATGTTAGCACCTTCCCAGGAGAGCTCTCGTTCAGAGAAATCATTAAACCAGCTAGAACTCACTTTCTGCTTCTTTGTACATGTCACAGTGCATGGAAGAGGCAGGCTATCTCTTTGTCAGGATGCACAATATATTAGTACCTGGTTATCAGTCATTATTAGATTTTTTTATGTATATTTGATTTGATCTTAGATATGCTAATTTCTATACTTTTACATGTAAATTACAGATAAAATGCCTCCATCATCTAACGCTCACCTAAAGTTCAAAAACAATTATTTAACACATTCTAAATGCCATCTTTTGCAAGTCTTAAAGAATGAATATCCATTTTCATGCTGCACATTATAATGTTGTGATACCTACATTTACTGGTAGCATTTAAAATGATTGGTTTTATTATTATTGCAAATGTTATTATGGCAATATTAAAATTATATATATTTTTTAAATGACATAAAGATGTTTTCATTTTAATTTATTCATTTTATTTTAGTATAATAGTATAACAACCTAAAATCAATCATTTTAAATAATACCAGTAAATTTAGGTATCACAACATTATAATGTGCAGTATGAAAATGGATATGAATTCTTTGAGACTTGCAAAAGATAGCATTTATATGATGGCATATATATTCAAGAAATATATGTAATATATATTCATATTTATATAACACACACACACACACACACACACACACACACACACACCCACACACACATATATATGGGCATTTGTGTGTATGTGTGTTATATAAATATGAATATATATTACATATATGTCTTGAATATATAAATGTATGTGTTTGCATACACAAATGTTTATTTTGGATGCAATTAATTGTGATTAATCAATTGGACAGCACTATGAAAGTACACTAAAAATGCGACAAGAGGTTGAGATGATTGACTGTCAGAAAAAGGTTTTCATTGTTTCACACGCATTATGTGCTTTATTTGATGTCTTAATTTTGTATAGGCAAATAGCACAGAAAGACCAGATGAAGCAAATTACATTTAATATCTTTTTAAAAAATATATTTATTTTTAATTTATATGTTTGGCACAGCATCTGTGGTTGGTCTGGTGGGTTGTTTTCATTGTGATTCAGACCTTTCCCTAAATTTTGAATGACTCATCAGCCCTATAACAAAACAAGAGGCCAGTGTGGACCAGACAACAGCTCTAGGCCCTCTCAGTGTGAAGACCACCCACATACACTACACTCCAATCCCCTGGTGCAATCACACAGAGGTCACTACAGATCAGTAAATTACTAAAGACTGAGAGCTTTAATACATTGGTTTCACATGAAAAGAAGTGTGCATAAGGGCAAATAAAATCCAGTCGATAAGATTCAATTAATACAATTCAATTAAAGTAGAAAAAGGGAAAAAGAAAAAGAAAGTAAAACATGATCATACCTGATACATTCAATGGTGCCTTCAATATGCTATGCTATTGAAACTAATTTATTTTCAGAGTTACAAGGAATAAAAAATATTATAATGCATAGTAGAATAATTACATTAAGTCTATAGCCTATATTTAACCAACATTCAGACACAATTCATAGAAAGTATTGTGTTTACAGGTGTTTATAGAGCTCCTGAAACATCAATCACACAATGAATAAAATATATCAATAAATCGTATAATGCTGACCAATTATGTTTTATCGTTCTACAGTTTAAACGCCTACAAGCCCAAAGAACTGGGCTTTCTAAAGAAGAAACACATCAGCACCAAATGTGTGTTATTTTAGCGCCTAAACCGCAGACATGCTTGTCGTGGTTGTGAGGGTCTCTCCTCCTCCTCCCCACGCCGCCCGCTGTGCTTCGGCTGTGTCCGCCAGAGGGCGCTCGGGCTCCGATGTCAACACGCGCCATTCGATTGTGGAAAATGCCACCAGATGGCGGTTTAGGATTGCTGCTCTTCTGAAAGGCGCGGTTCCTTCTCCCGGTCCAATTTTCAATTAATAAATCCATATTTAGCAAAACTTTTATCGAATTCCGAATAGCGGGAACGCCGACCTTTGCGACCATGAGCATCGCAGGTGAGTTGTATGCGTTTCTGTGCTGTTAGTGGTGTGTGAAGGGTAGCGGGTCTGGAGATTAAAGATGGAGGACAGCGGGGCTGGTGGGGGATGGGCGGCTTCTCCTCTGCTCTCACACTGACTGCATCTCCTCAGGCCAGATCCACACTCCCGCAGCCGGGCTTTAGCGGCTCGTCTGCGGCTCCGCGAGCACATACTGCTCGGTCATAAAGAAAGGGCTCATTTTCTTAAGGCAGAGTGTAATTGAGCTCATATGTGTCTGCAGACCTGCATCAGTTTGTCGCAGATATTGAGCTGCACTTAATTATATAATGATCAGTTTATGGCAAACACTGATTGCTGCGGGCTTGAGTAGATGCTGGTTTGGTTCTCAAGGTTTTTTTTCTTCTTTTCTTTTTCTTTTTTCTTATGACATGATGAAGGTCCCGTTATTTAATCTGTCAAAGCCTATAAATTATTTCAGACATGTTAACAACAGGCTTAATATGTAATCTGGTGTGCTTTAGTCATGATAACATGATTAATCCCAGTGTAAGAGATGGAAAGGAGAGAAGAAGCAGTCAGACAGGTGTAATACTGTTGCTATAATTGAGGAATATGTGAGAGACTTCACTGGGTATTATTTACCCAGTGTGTGTTTGTGTGTGTGTGTGTGTGTGTGTGTGTGTGAGGGGGGAGGGGTTGAGTTTTCACCTTTGTTTTCATCTGTACTTTCTCAGACTGAAGGAAGATCACACTAGTATTGAAACTTCACAGTCAGCCCACACTTGCCTTGTGTTATTACTATTATTTCTGTTTGAATCAGACGGGTTTTTCAGCAAGTCAACTTGGGTTAAACTACTAAGGTAACTTGATTCTTAATGATTTTAAAGTTCAGGTTAATCTCAGAAACACAAGAACACTGCAATATCTATCTACCTGTCTATCCATCCATCTAGCAGTGGATGTTGTAATGTTACAGAAAAGAGTGTTGTACTTTGAGACGCGCAGCAGTCAGGAAAACCACTAGCTAACTTTTTCTGTGAAGTGCAAATGATGTAACCATTTTTGTGCAGGGTTACCCAATGTAGCACATCCTGTGGTTAAAAGTGTGGGCATTAAAAAAACCATCTGAAGGAAACAGTTCAGTGTGTGAAATATATACCTGACCGAACAGAGTCTGTTACAACAAGTCAACCTACTTTGCATCTTATTTTCCTAATGGATTGAAAGAATATAATCCTGCTATGCAAAACTAAAAGATGTTGAGTACTTTATTTCGTTCAGTCGCTGGTCTCTGATAGAGGTGTTTAACTGTGGCTCACCAAGTCCCTTAGCATCCAAAACCCATGTGTCCACAATCCACATCTCCATCTGTTCACCATTACTCCTCACAACACAATCATAATGACATCTTCCTTCCTAAAACCAGTGAGAAGGCATGTGTGTGCTTGTACTTGTGATTTTTTTTTTTTTATGATTGCAAGAAAGCCTGTTTAGAATGATCGGTTTGACGTCAGCAGAGTTTACTTTAGTACCAGGCATGCAGAAAAAATCAATTCATCTTTAAAAATAAAGCCCAGCTCTGTCTTTTAGTAAATGTTATCTACTGATAGATCTAGATAAATCAAATAAATCTGGCATTAGTCTGCATATAGAAATCATTTATAAACCATGCTTTTACTCTTATAAGTGGATTTTCAATGTGTTGGCTGCTATGATCACCCTGAGATCGATTATACATAAAATAGCAAGGCTATATTAACAAGGACATATACCCTGTACTTTCGGAAGAAATAATATTAGGTTTATAGCTAGTAAATCATGCAAAAAAAAATTCAAAATAAGTACTTTTTATCAGTTCTTGAGATTTCACAAGTTGTGCCTATCTTTGCTGAAAGATTACTGTATGGGCTTTTTATCATGCAACATGATAAACACAAAATTTGCTTTACCTAAAATAGAGTTGATTTTGAATGGTTTTTGTGTTCATTCTCTTGGCATGGCGCAACAGATTGTTTGCTGGCAGTTAATCAAAGTCTTTCTCAGCCCTGGAGCCAAAGTCTGTGAATAATGAACAAGATGAAAGGTTCAGTCTGTTGATATGAATGTCATATTAATGAATGAAAGAGGCTGTTTTGCTATGAAGTACTATCTACTTTTACTTTTTTTTTTTTAAATCAATTTCTGCAGCATGGGGCAGATTCAGTAATACATGGTGGAATGAGCTACAAAACAAGGTGTTTTAAACAGACAGCAAAACTTATATTAAGTCAAATATCTGCACCCAACTTGACCTTCCATTATTGAAATTTATCAACATCAATTTTTGAGTCATGTTTTTGGACTGCCAAAAGATGCCATTTTTATTCAAAATTGGTGCAAAAATTATTTTCCAAATTGAACTGAAGATGCAACTTAGTGAGGCCATTTGACGCAAGCAATTGTTAAAGTGTTTATCGATTTTCAATTTATAAACGTGAAATAAATGAACATAAATTGCCTATTTCATTTGTAAATGGATGTTTCTGTTGGCACTTTTAGAAAATAAACTATCTTAAAACACAATTATCATGTTCTTTAGTTGTTTATTTATTCTGTCTAATAAAAATCCCCAACAGTGGGAACATACGTGATGCATTAGTCACTTCTACAGTCTCATTTCCACCACATTGGTAAATGATTACACTAACCTTAAAAACCTTTGCTCGGGAAAAGTTGTTGATTATGTTGGGGAAAAACTGATGGAAATCATAGTTTGTGTACAAATTGATATTAGTTTTGCTAAATATAGAAAAGCTTTATGGTTATTTTACTCTTTATTTAGATTATTATAGTAAAATAATTGTTTTCATAATGGCTTTTTAGTGTATATCTTTATTTTATAGGGTATAGAACCACAGTAAAATATTGACATTAATACATAAAAAGTCATTTGAGAAGTAAAAAAAAAATGGTAGAGACACAGTAAAAAGTTTCCATGATGGTTTAATAAGACCATCATATAACAAAAAGGAAAATATTAGTTTTAATAATGTTCAACCACCTGGTCATAAAATTGGCCATAACTGAAGAAGCACCCGCGTGTTCCCAGCAACTGCTCCTCCCGCCAGCCGTGGCTCTGTACCAGATTTGTGAGATTGCCAATTATTTCACCTGACATCTTCAGTTTGTCAGCACACTGCTCCGATACGTCTGACTGTACGGATATGTGATTATCTTCCTCGCTGACGATACCCTTAAAACAGACATGAATGGGGCCTCTTTGTTCAGTTAAAGAACGTGATTGAAGCTTGTTAAAGTGCAGCAGCTCTGAGAGTAAGACGGCTCCATGCTGTGTCTCTCCTCCCTCTCCTGCAGTCTCCATTTTGTGAGCGCCTGCAGCGGGGCGGCCATGACTGCTGCCGCAGTGACACCAACACAAAAGCACTCTGTCTGTCCCATTCAGCTGCATGTGGCCGGCGCAGACTCACTGCTGTGCGGATGAAAGTGCTTTTGTTGTTGTTTAGGTTGCTGTTTGTAAAGGATTTAATGGTCAAGAGTATCCTTCTGGTGTGAAGCATTGCTAGCCTCTAGTAAAGCTCCCAGTGGATCTGTCTCATCAGTTATTACTGTGGTTTCTCACACATTCAGCAGCAGCTGCTGGTGTGTGTATGTGTGTGTGTGTTAGAGAATGGAAATGTCTTTCTCAGTCTTCAGGACCTTCTCTTTTTCACAGTTAATGTGTGTTTGGTGTCTCTGCTGAACAAACCCTCCAGAATAAAAGCAGGAAGTCGGCACAATGAGCTGCAGCTGCATTCACACGCCACACCTAGTAAAGTGATTTTACACTAGTGTCAGCAGTCAGGTTCAATGTGTTCTTGTTCTTGTTTATTTATTTATATAGCACCATTTAAAACACAACCGAGGTGCTAACCAAAGTGCTTTACATAAAAAGTACAAGAATGGAAACGAACATCGACAACATAAAACACCACATCAACATATAAAACACCACATCAATCATTGTATGCTACCAGCATTAGATGTGCTTTCAACAGTTTCTTAAAAATGTACAGTGATTTGGCAGACCTGATCGGCAGGGGCAACTCATTCCAAAGTCTCGGCCCTATCACAGCGAAGGCCCGATCGCCTTTATATAGGCGATTTGTTCTAGGCACTACAAGTAATTTTTGATTCTCTGATGTGCTGAATGTGCATTAAGTGTACTTTATATTTGTTAGTCGGGGTTTGGTAGGCATGGGTATTAGCAGGGACCTGGCAATATGATGTTGTTTTGATTTCTGGACCACACTACATCAATAGTGTTTTTTTTTGTTAAACTGATATTGCAGTCTCTCTGCCATACGCATTTGACTTTGGTATTTTGCACAAATTATATTGGGTTGTTATAAGTTAAAATTTTGGGCTGATAGACATAATGTGACCTAATGCTACACAATGTTTCGCCTTCTCACTTGCACTGAATGGTGGTAAATTGTCCACCCATTATTTTGACCTAACAAAATAATTTTAATTAAATTATACTTATTTGCTCTATTTTTAGACTTTTTTTACACCTTTGTCATCATCTTAAAGGCAATCTTTAAAAACACTTGTAATTTAATAATACTGTTGAATGTAAATAACTGTACTTTAAAAAAACAAAAACTCAAGATTAATATCCTGTACATTATAAGTGTTTTATTTTTTGTTTATTTAGACAAGATAATGTAGATATGCAGTGTGTGTATGTATGTATGTATGTGTATATATATATATATATATATAACAAAAAATAAAACACACTTATAATGTACAGGATATTAATCTTGAGTTTTTGTTTTTTATATATATATGTATATAACCATACAGTGTTTCCTCTAGGATTTTTTCCAGGTGTAGTGGCAGGACTATTTCCTATTTTTTGGTTAAACCTCCCCACCCAAGAATCACTTGCACTCAAACTCAGAATTGAATTTATTTGAACTAAAAATGACAAGTAAACAGTATGTAATAAAATGAGAACAAATAAATAAATG